ACACCCAGAATACAGCCTCATGATTGTGATGTGTACGAACACCCAGAATACAGCCTCATGATTGTAATGTATAAGAACAAGCTGCCTCTCGCATCTCCAGGGTGACGTCGTGCTGCAGAGTGACCACATCATCGAGACCCTGACCAAGGTGGCCATCTGTGCAGAAAAGATCAACAACATCAACATAAACCAGGGCAGGTGAGTGAGCGGAGGGTAGCTTTCTATCCTCAAGGCTCTGTCTTTCCCTTCAGTCAAACGTTTTGTTGTTCTTGTTTTTTTTTGTTCCTCTTCATGCATTTTATTGAAAAGTACTTTGATGCTATTTTTGGCAAGACTTGCTTGGTTGTTAAGGAACCCCCGTTCTGCTGCAGTATAAAGTTTGCATTTGGTCGTGGTAAGGAGGGAATCATCGACTTCACTCCAGGCTCTGAGCTGCTCATCACTAAAGCCAAGAATGGACATCTGTCTGTGGTGAGTCACAAAACCACAACCTTCCCCTCGTAGTGTAAAGAGCCACCATTCATGTCAAGTGGCCCTAAGCTTAAAATATAAAATCTTTAGAAGTGTTTTTGTTTGTGTTTTATAAATAAATAAATAAATAAATGGACTCTCTTCCAGACGGCCCCCCGACTCAACTCAAGATGATGGGGAAGGACCACAGAATAAGTGACCTGCTAAAACATTGGATTATATTTGTAAACATTGTCTCCATTTCACCAATCAGATGACTGCACATGGCCCTGCTTCAGCCAATCAGATCACAGTTAAGGCCTATGCATCGAAATGAGAAAATCCCATTAAACTAAACACTAGTTATGTTTTTTTTTGTTTTTTACATTAACACTATTGTTCTTCAGTTATACTATTATTATGAGTTGTGCTCAAAAGGAAAACTGGTTAGATGTTTGTCCACACTGTGGAGGGATAGCGATGCTCAAACAGGAAGGTGAGATTTCACGGTGCTGAAGCCGGTGACTTCAATCGTGCCGCTGAAATCGGGGATTAGATGTTGGAGGCTCTGTGTGACTTCGTCCCTCCATGGCTGTTTCTCTGCAGCGAACCTTCAGTCACTTTGCTGTTCAGTCACACCAGGTTACAAGATTTTGCCCACTACTTAAATGCTGAAAGGTGACTTGTGTATCCTTCGTCACGGCAACAATACATTGGATATTTTACATATGTCTCTTTTCCCCATCAAACACGAGGTGCCTTTGTGAATTTTGTTGCTGGAATGCAGTTCGTACATGTTAATTGTATGGAGACATTTGCCCAGCTTGTCTGCACACCCACAAAATTAAGAGTATCAAAGCTTTAAGATGTTTTTATCAAGTGTTTTTTTTTCCCTGATACTGCCTGTCTGTCATTCTCAGACACCCCCCCTCCCCTGCACTCAGGGGGCTGTTCAGACTCGCTAAACCTTGTGCAGATCCATATTTGTGGGGAGTGTTGACATGATAACTAAGAATACAATGGGGGTGTTTGAGAAAGATTACTTAGTATCTCAGAAATTGCTATTTGTTACACTGACTTCTTGGTGTAGTTCTAGCCAAAGGAATGTGTCCAAACCAAAATGATTCCTTACTGTTTTTTTTTCTTTTGATACTTATCACAAAAAACACAGACTGAACTGGGATGATTTAGCATAGATACAGAGATGTTTTATTTTCATTGGTCCCACACACAAATTATACTTTAGAATTTAGAGTTTTTAAGTGAGTGGAGTAGTAACATTTTAGTAAATTTTTCTTGGAATACCATAATTTTCAAAGACGTTTCAGAATCATTTTAATATATATTCTTACCCATAATATAATTTTTTTTTCCTCATGTTGTGAACCCAAAAGCTACACTAAATGTTTTGTTAGTATTGTTCTAGTAGATATTCAATGCTCACTAGGTGTGTTTCATAGAATCTAAGAATTCACTTCAGGTAAATTCCAAATGTTTAATAAAAGGTGCAAATGGGCTACATTTTCCACAGCAAGGTTGAGGAGGTTAAATGCTTATGTTAAGCCACAGAAGAATTTCACACTGTGTATATGTAAACTTTCTATACTATTCCTCTGCGTAGTACTTAATGTGGAGGATGCATCAACCAGGACTTTGTCCAGATGTTTTTATAACGTGTCACGCCCCTGCTTTTGAATAGTACTTTCTCATTTACCGTAATTAGGTCCTCCGTCTTTTTGATCTTTCCATGATTGGCGGAGCGTTTCTCTTACATTCTGTCCATGTTCCCGCCCCGCTACCCTTCACCACCTCGCCCCTAATTGGTTCCTTACATGTGACCTATCGAAGGTCGAGAGACACGGAGGGAGAGCCCGGAAGTTAGGAGATGAGGTTTCCCTGATGCGCTCACGCAGGGACGATGCTAGCCAAAGAAACTGTGTGCAGTACACAGACACGCGTCGAAGTATATGCCTAGCGTAAGGCATGGTTTTTTTAAAAACACAAAATCTTTCTAACGTGCCTTGTATTTCAATGTAAATGAAAACTCATTTTTATTGAAGTAATATCTTTTCCAAGATGCATCTCAGCGTGTTTTGTTCTAATTTTCCATGTAATATATCTGCTGCTTTTCTACTGTTTTACTGTCGCCCCGCTACGGCAGAGGAACACCTATGGTTGTAATATGAACAGAAAATGTCCTGCGCGCGTATAACCTGCAGATTCTTTCCATACTTTACACGTCCACGTGTCCGCTCTCTTCTCCGTCTGCACTATAGGCCTACTAAAAGGCCTTAAATAATTTGTATTCGTTTGTGAGATATTATATAGCCGTATACATGCTATTGTGTATAATCAAATGACACCCAGGGATAGAAAAGATGAAATCTGTTCAAAGTTTCAAAATAAAAGCGGTGACATGATTAATGAATGTGTGGTTTCGTAAATGTAAATGAATAATCGTGTGCCCTGGTCGTCAAACTGATTTTGCTTCCTGATGTGACAATCTAGGTAATTCGTATTTGTATTCCCTGTTTAGTAAGAAGCGCTCGAATACTGTTTTTGCATACATCAAGTTCTATGAAAATTGTTTGGTAGCGCCTTACGTAATAAGCATACTGCAACGCATGTAATAGGCCTATATAAATTCCAGAAGGATAGTTTTCTACCTTTGGAACTGTGGGTCCTGAAATGTAGCGATTAATATTTGTTGTCTAAAATCCTATGGATTCCTCATATAGTACCCTTAAGTAAGGGACAGCTGTACGGAATAGGTAAATAAAGTACATCACTCTGAATATCAGAGCTGTTGTAAAAAATGCGTTTGCTATACAGAAAACTTGTCGCTTGTTGAATGGGTTTGTAAGTTATAAATGTAATTTTAGGCTAGTGACAACGCTACGCACGTAGAAGTCTGCTTGCTACCATGTTTGCCTGTCATGTTTCATGTGTATTTTATTAATATTTCACGTGTCATCGGGTCCTTTAATTACAGGTGACGCTGCAATCGCGATGTGTATCTCGCGTGATTTGAGATTTTGGGGTCTGTCGCCGACATTATTGGGACAGCGCTGCGTGCCGCGAAATTGAAAGTATTCCTCGATCCCCATAACCTGAGCCGTACGCCTTTATTGCCCAGATGGTTAAATTACCAGTGTTTCTAAGTAAAATTTGAGCGGCTCCCGACTTAAACTCTTGTTTCGCTTTCTGCAGTGAAAATCATTGAACTATATATTTTATTATATTTTTAAGGAAGTGGATTAAGTCGCAAAAATGACTTTTTAAGTCTATAACTGGGTAAGTAGTATACTCGACGACTTCGATCCGTGCTAATATAGCTTGTTTTAATATTATAATAACAGTTAAATTGTTTAAAAGTTACTTTATGGTTGCGTGAAGTAGATCACGTTTATTTGCTCATGTGTATTTGTTATACCAGCTCCAAGTTTTGGAGTTTGTATGGTATTAATAGTTTCCGGTTAGGGTTTTTGTATTGGTTATAACAGGCATCTGAGATATGGTTTAGGGTAGGGTGGCGGACCTAAAATGCCGGAAATGTCCCGAATTTCATTTTGTATTAAAGTGACATTTGCTTTCTACAGTCAGAATACTTTCTGTGTGTCTATTTGCGTTGCTTTGACGCCTGTCTTTGCGTCCTGCCCTAGATGCCTTCTTTATTTGCAAAGCAAAATATGGTCACCATCGCTAATTTGGGGCTCCTTATATAGCCAGTCATGGAGGTAATAAGTATTTAATTACATCTATAGGCCTATATAGATTATACATTAATGTTGTACTTTAATGAGTATTGAGTTTGCGAGTTCGTCGGTATGCGAACAGCTGTTACTCTCACAAAGTAATATAGATCGGTGTTTGATACACGGGTCCTGTCGTTGACAAAATATACATTAACCAGGAAACACCCAAACCTGGATTTTTCTGCTTTGGTCATGTGATCATCTGACGTCGTATGTCTGCCATAACCTCGGAATTTCCCGGACACATACATACACACCACTTTAAACCAAATATATTGACACTGTACTTAATTGGCGTATAGCTGCCACCATCAAAAATATGGTTTGCCCAGTTTATCTTTATAACTTTACAGCGTGAAAATTATCTCGCCATAACAAAGACGATTTATCGCTTTAACGTGTAAAACGTGAAACAACGGGAAGTTACGCTGCCTTTAAGAGGTGTGACTGATTTCTTTCTTCTGTACAGCCCCAAGCTTTTCAAAATACGCATAACTGGACAATAGCCTACCATATGATCAAAAAACAGCAGACTTTCACCATGTCCCATCCCCATCGTGAAGTAGAACTTTATCACATCATATAAACGAGTCGTTATCTCCACTTTTGCGTCTCCTTGCAACAATAATTGGATTATAATGAGAAACGTTTGTTGTTTTATCCATGTCATTTGGATTCTCGTTTTAATAAAGTAAAATATTATTGCCTTAAAACATGAAACATGTCTCGTTTTAACGAGATAACTTAGTATCTCGTTGTAGTGCAAACCTTTCTCGTCGTTTTAAGAAGGTTAATTGTTTCGTATCTTATTATAACGAATAACTGGGCAAATTTTAATTTAATTATGGTGGCAGGAATACGCTGTCGTTGTTAATATACGGTACCGGTAAGTCTGAGAAAATTTGTTATGTGCATGACGTAATGTTTCCATTCGTTCTGGTTTTAAGAATATTGGTGAAGGCGGTGATTGTCCCCATTGGTTCTGTTCTGTGCTTAATAAACTTTTAAGTAATATGTCTTCTTCCCAGACATGATGACGCAGGTGGGAGGAGGAGAACCCTGGATCCTAAGGCTGCCACCCTGCTGTGGGATTAGGGGGAAGATGAGGATGGACTTGATTTGAACTGCAAAACGGCTTCTGTCTTGACCAAAAGCGAAGAATACAAGCAATGGAGGTCTTGTAACACCAGTGATGTACTCAGCAAAGAGGCCCTGCACTCTGAAGCTTAATCTTGCGTGATGTATGTGCTGATGCAGTGTTTTAAGACAAGAATTGTAAGAATTTGATAAAAGTCTGGACTACGAGAGCATAAAGCTTCCTTTGGCCATTATTGCACATTTTGATTCTTGTGGAGCATCTAGCTGCCAGTTTTGCATGTAACCAGGGCCTGCACTGCACTCACTGGCCCCCACCCTGCCGCCTCCACAATGGCACTGGGGCCCTGCTGTACAGACCTGATGAAGCGGCGTGTGGAGCTGGTGGAGGGGTGGAGCCGCCACGTCGCCTTTCTCCTGGACCTCCTGTATAAGTTGGGGGCCCTAACTGAGGAGGATGTGGACTCAGTGCGAGGCGGCGGCTGCCGGGGCGAGCGGGAGCGCATGCGGAGGCTGCTGGACGTCCTGCACGGGCGAGGGGAGGAGGCATGTCGCGCTTTCCAGCATGCACTGCAGCAGGTGTCCGCAGACCCTCAGCCGCCACCCAGTGACAGCAATAGTTGTGGTCAGAGTCTTACCTTCCCTGAGCTGCAGGGGGCGATGAGGAAGCATAAGGAGATCCTGGCATTGGAGCACAGCCCCATGGACTACCTCAGCATCCGAGGAAGGGCGGCAGCCGATGGGAGCAACTGCACTTTCATTGAGACGACCCTCCTGCAGTCTGTGGGCTTCCTGGTCCCACCACGGTATCAGCACGAGGCCACCGACGCTGGTGACGCCTTCCGCACGGTGGAGGTGCCGCCTGGAACTCAGGGTCCAACATGCGGGTTCTCCACACTGTGTCAGAGTTTGCTCTTCGGCAGAGATGATGGGGTCATTTTTCTGTGTGGAGTAGCTGGCAGCGGCAAGACGACGTTGGTGAGGCAACTGGTCCATGAGTGGGTGGTCAGTGAGGAGACCCAGAAAGTGATCATCTCCCTGTCCTTCCGTGAGCTGAACCTGGTCAGTGAACCGCAGAGCTTACAGGATCTGCTCTGTGTGCACTATAGCCATCTCCGGCCTGTACTTGCACACATCCTTGCCTCCGATCCTTCCAAGATTCTTCTCATCCTGGATGGGCTTGACGAGTTCAGGATCCCTCTTGACTTTGATAGGACTCCCAAGTGCTCAGACCCTGAGCTCGCACAGTCCATGGGCAGTATGGTGGTGAACCTGATCAAAGGGAACCTTCTGCCGGGCCGCTCTCTCCTACTCACCTCGCGCCCTTACGCTGTCACCAAGGTTCCCCTCCAGCTGGTATCGGTGTTCTTCACCGTGTTGGGTTTCTCACCAGAACAGCAGCACCAGTACTTCTTGCGAACCTGCCAGACCGCCGAGGCTGCAGATGTGATCCAGCACTATGTGTCCTCCCACAAGCCCCTCCTCCGCATGTGTCACATCCCGGCCTTCTGCTGGATTGTAGCTACTGCCTTGCAAAACTTCAGTAATGCACAGGAGTCCCTCCAGCAAAAGCTTGACGACAAGCAAGAGTCAGTCGCCTTGAAGACTCGTGTGGTCGTTGTTCCCCAGGGTCCAGGAAAGCCGACCACCATCACTGAGATCTACTGCTGCTTTCTGAAAGCCATTATAGTGTTCCACACAGAGGGCAGGGAGGCAAACCTAGGGGTGAACCGCCTTCAGGAGGCCCCTCAGGTGATGCAGGGCATGCGCTCGCTGCTGCGGGACCTGGGGGGCCTGGCCTTCCGGGGGCTGCTGGAGAGACGCTTCTTATTCGATAACTCTGACCTGGGATCCCTGGCACTCGGCCACTGTGAGCTGTCTCGGGCCTTTCTGGTGGAGACGCTGCGAGAGGACCGGACCTCCCTCGTCTGTGAGAAGAGTTTCCACTTCATCCACACCAGCCTGCAGGAGTTTCTGGCCGCACTCTATTATGTGCAGCAGTCCCTCTCGGGCAGAGACCCTTTCTCTGGCCATAAACCAGGCCTCCTGGAGGTCATGCGTAAGGCCCTGGAGGCTGGCAGATACCGGCTGATAGGACCAAGCTACCACAGGCACATCAAGAAGGTTTTTTGCTGGAGTGAGAGCCACCAGTCTGGACACCTGGACCTCTTCTGCAGGTAGGAACTGTTCTCAGCTGTTCTGGCAGGTAAGCGCTTCAGCCAGAGTGTAAAGACCGGCCCGAATCATTTCTCTGTCGTGAGATGTCACATTTAAATACTTCCTTTTTCATGAAAAGAAGGGATTCTTTGCCAACCAATGCCTTCTCATTATTTCTTTCAAAAATCGCACAGAAATTATCTACTGAAATGCAATGATTACGTGATCCACGATTTTCCTGTAGAAGCCTACAAAACCCCCCCACTAAAATGTTTCCGAAATAAGGCTTTGAAACAAAGTTTGTAGTGAAATCCCACAATCAATGGCTGAAACTCACCTTGGAAATGAGTGAGGTCACCCTCAGGTCAGGGGGTATCCGTTAATGAAGATAGTGATTTTTTTTTGTGTCTTCATTTGATATAACACTCGCCTTTTCTGGGATGGCGCAGTGGTTAGCACTGAAGCCTCACACCCATGTGACCAGGGTTCGAGTCTCCACCATGGCTCCCTGTGTGTGGAGTTGGCATGTTCTCCTCTGGGTACTCCGCGTTCCCCCCGCAACCCAGAAACATGCTGAGGTTAATTAGAGCTGCCAAATTGCCCATAGGTGTGAGAGAATAGTGTGAGTCTGTTCCCTGCAATGTGTTCTTCCCTGACTGAGTTTCTGGGATAGGCACTGGACCTGCTGCACCCCCGAATACAGCAAGTAATTATAGAAAATGGCTGGATTAACTATTCTGACTGATTATGTCTAACCTGGGCCAGTGTTCAGATTTTACCTGCCGATTCCTTTCTGCAGAACTAGCAGATTCCCCATGTCCCTGTGTTAATCCCCCCCAGGTTCCTCTCTGGTCTCTTGGTTCCCAGCACCCGGCAGATTTTAGAAGGGCTCTTCCCCCAGGAGCCTCAGAAGCTGCTCTCCGTCCCGGCCTGCCGAGCGGCTGGCCCCGTGCCCCCCGCTTCCGCCCCCCCCTTCTTCCTGAAGCTGCTCCGCTCCCAGCTGCAGCACCGAGAGCTGCGACCGGAGCGGCAGGTTAATGCGTGTCACTGCCTGTATGAGGCACTGGACCCGGGGCTGCCTCAGCGCCTGGAGCGCTGGCTGCGGCTGCTGGCACAGCAGGGAGAGCCGGCCCTGGAGCGGCAGCGGCAGCAGCAGGACTGGAGCGAGCTGGCCTTCCTGCTGGAGCTGAGCCCCGCCTTGCAGGACCTGAACCTAGAGGCGCAGGACCTGCGCGCAGACGGCCTCCGCAGGCTGCTGCCTGTGCTACACCTCTTCCACACCCTCAGGTGAAAGACCTCGACTTCACTTATATCAAGTGAATTTGCAGACAAACCTTAGGTGCCAGTTTGGATTAGCGGTGCGGGCTTTGATTCCTGTGGCTCACTGTGCTTTGGTACTCCTGGCCTGACTCCTGGCCTGACTCCTGGCCTGACTCCTGGCCTGACTCCTGGCTTTTATTGCCGCAGGTTGGCGCAGAACCCCCTGGGCCCGGAGGGGGCTGCCGTCCTGTGTCTTGCAGTCAGAAACCCAGACTGTCGCATTGAGAAGCTCTGGTGAGTAAAAACTTTCCGGAAATGGTCAGTGGCAGGTTGGTATGTGTATGGCCTGACATAGATAACACTGTGGTCTGCGGAGAGAGGTTTACTTTACTGAAGGGGACTTTGTGTCTATGTGTGTGTGTGTGTCTGTGTCAATGTGTGTGTGTGTGTGTGTGTCTGTGTGTGTGTGTCTGTGTGTGTGCAGGCTGGTGGCCACAGACCTAGGATGCAACGGAGTGGAGATTCTGTCTGATGCATTGAAAGAGAACCGCACAGTGGTTGACTTGAGGTAAGCTCGCCTCTCTGGCTTGGGCACAGAGTATTCCTGCTCCCTAAGGACTTTGGTTAATGTTCTTATGGCAGCTACACCCACTGCATCTGTCTTTGTTTTGCTAATTTAGCAACGGAGCTCCCACCTCCCCTCCCCTCACCTTCGCCTCCTCTCACCCTGACGGACCCCTTAAGCCATGTACAAACAGTGACGTGTCCCCCACTGTCCTTCATCCGATTGTGCTAAGTTAGCACTGTGCTAACAGGGAGTACTTGCCTTTTTCTGTAGTGTGCCAATATAGCCAGGATCCCTGAGAGGAGGGGTGGCGTTGGCATGATTTGAAGGCCCCTAAGCGACAGGAATCCTAAAAAATTTTTAACATAATTGGATTTGTCTGGATTGGGGGCCCAATGTCACATGATTTCATGGAACCCAAACACTGAATGTAACATCAGGCCAATAGCAGCATTTAACCAGCAGAATTTGCTGATCTCTCACGTCATGCCTATAACAGCATTTGCCGCCACCTTGCAGGATGGCCATCAACAACATCGGTGACAAAGGTGCCGGCCACTTGGCTGAGCTGCTGCGGCACAATCACACGCTGAGGGACATCAGGTGACCTGTCTGCGAAAAGGCAGCTGCAGTGCCTCTCACTGGAGGGCGCTGAGGAGCGAGGAGGGTTTGGCCCCCCGCACAAAGGCTACTGGCTACTGCATTTTTATGTAACCAAGTTCGGTTTTAGGGCAGCACTCACCTGGTCTCTGTGGTCACCAGGCTCCGTGACAACCATGTGACAGACAAGGGTGCGGAGCTCCTGATGGCCGCCCTGAAAGACAACAACACTCTGGAGTTCCTGTGGTGAGTTTCTGCACTGATCACTGGTACAGACACTGGAAATGCAGTGGTCTTTGGCTTCTCAGTCCCCTGTCAACCAGCACCTGTGAAACAGCTTCACTTTTCTCTTGATTACCGGAAAGATGAGCACCTTTCTGTGCAGGCTACATCCACACGCTTCCTTCACCTCAAGATTAAACATGATTAGCGCAGAAATTTCCCAAAAAGGGTTTTTTCTGCATTTAGTCATTCAGATCAAACTGTAGGTTTTTGGCATTTAATCAGTTAAGGCAGAACTCAATGTATTTGATAACTGATTGATATTATTGGATATTAAGTAGTAATAAAAAAACGTGATATCAAAATACTTTAAATAATTTAAAAATCACTTAATTGATTTTTTAATTATTTAAAGTATTTCATATTAATTTGACCTAGTATGAAAAGGGACTGCAGGCATGTAGAAAGAATATGGAAGCTGATGGTTCATTGTGACATTTAGAAAAATATTCTGAGCCTTAAACAGTGAACTAAAGAATATGCCAGAATGTTCTCCTTTTCAAATGCGATAGAGAACGTCAAGGGTGAGCTGAAAATTCCATTTTACTACTATTGATAGATTGATTCCCCCCCCACACACACACACACACTCACACTCATGTGAGCTTCTTACAGTTGAGTTTGCAGCTTTCTTCAGTGATAAAACTTGGGCCATAAGAGGAAACGTAGGGCGTACTCACCCCCAGAACGTGAACCTAAATCCACCACACTGTACTGTCCTGTGTTTTCTCCTATCGACCTTCATTCACTAAGCTCATTGTCGGCAGACTTTCTACTGTTACATCCCTACACTGGCTTCCTGTGACCTTTAGGATTGATGTTCTTTCGCTGATTGTTAAATGTTTACATGCCCGAGTCGCCTGTGAGGTAGGGGCCCCAGTCGCCTGTGAGGTAGGGGCCCGAGTCCTCTGTGAGATAGGGGCCCGAGTCCTCTGTGAGATAGGGGCCCGAGTCGCCTGTGAGATAGGGGCCCGAGTCCTCTGTGAGGTAGGGGCCCGAGTCCTCTGTGAGGTAGGGGCCCGAGTTCTCTGTGAGGTAGGGGCCCGAGTCGCCTGTGAGGTAGGGGCCCCGAGTCCTCTGTGAGGTAGGGGCCCCGAGTCCTCTGTGAGGTAGGGGCCCCGAGTCCTCTGTGAGGTAGGGGCCCCGAGTCGCCTGTGAGGTAGGGGGCCCGAGTCGCCTGTGAGGTAGGGCTACCCTACCGAGAACGTGGATGGTTACAGTTGCACATTTTTGGTGGTATTTTATTATTATTAAATTGATACAATTTTCACATTTGATTCCATTTCCTTTTTTCTGTGCTTATTCTTATTTATTGAATTTTAATTCCTTTCTTTTAAATGTCTGTAAAGCACCTTGTAAAGCCTGTGGTTAAAATATTTTGTTCTCAGCTGTTCTGGCAGGTAAGCGCTTCAGCCAGAGTGTAAAGACCGGAGTGGAAATAACTTGTAAAGGATTACAAGTTAAAATGATTGATTGATTGATTGATTGATTGATGAATGCTTATCCATGCTAAATCCTGTTATTATGTTTTATCTTTTTATTTGAGATATTTCACATAATTCTCACAGACCATGTATACAGCAGCACATGGAATGAATAACTGGACTGTATATTGTAACTAGACATATTGAGTTTATGTCTATTCAAAATAAATCTGCATGTGTAGCTGTAATCTGCAGTTCATTTATGTGTGTTTTTACCATTTTGCTGCAGGTTGTTTGACAATAAGTTCTCCAAGGATGGTGTTAGGAAACTGAAAGAATTTGCCAAAAGCAGGTCAACGCTGGACATCAAAGTGTGTGTCTGACCCCCCTGTCGGCCTGTGACTAGGCCAGCCACCTCCCTGCTTTACCCTCCCCTAACTGCTTTTAGGCATTTTCATGTTATTCTGCTGGACTGTTTACAGGAATTAACAAATGTAAGTGTTATTTTGTTACTGGCAGTTTATAACATATACAGTGGTACCTCAGAACTCGAATTTAATCCGTTCAGAACTCCAGATCGAATCCTAAAAAGTTCAAGTTGTGATCGAATTTTCCCCATAAGAAATAATGGAAAACCGATTAATTGGTTCCCGGCCCCAAAAAATTTTTTTTTTTTAGCATTTAAACACAAAATGAACCGGATAAAACAAGAAGAGCATATACTGTACTAAACACATCTAAGCACATTTATCAAAACAGTAATTTGTAAAGTAAGAAAATAAATGTATCCAAACAATGTGTAAAGTTAAAAAAAACATTATTTCCTTCCCCGATCGCCCGCTCCTTCCGTGTGTCACGCCCCTTCGTTAACCCCGTGTGGAATCCCCATGTGATCAGTTGTTTCTGGTTGTTCTCATCAGTCCTCTGTATTTCGTCCGCATTTCAGTTTGTTTCCCCAGTTCAGTCATTGTGTCCGTCTGCGTTTTGCCTGCCTTACCTGTAATTAAACCCCGTATTCCCCGATAGCCTGACATCTGCACCTTTCTCCCCGTTCCGTCCCCGCTCGGCACGACAATATTATTATTATTAAATGTATTAATGCTTTATTGTTAATATTAGTCTATAATAATAATTACTGTTACTGTCTATCATTGTCAGTGTATTTTTACTGTCTAAATATATGTATTCAGCTAGTGTAAATATGCTTGATGCTATCACAGCGAATGCGAGGCTTTGACTGAAGCATTACCCTTTCCGCTGAAAGATGTGCTGCGCGTACAAGTTATCTTAGGGTGGTGTTCACGGTTTGACTTCTGAGATGCAGATCGAGTTCTAGCTAAAAAAAAATTCGAAATGGTTGGTTCGACTTTTAAGATATTCGAGTTGTAATGAGTTCGAGAACTGAGGTACCACTGTATTTAAAAGGTGCTTCTCTGTCAGCCTTGATGAACTTGATGATGGAGACATTACACAACATGACCTGTAGAGGGCACACTGAAGCTCTATTTGAGACTGTTACCAATTTTTTCTGGTTATGAAACATAATTGTGGAAAGGAAATTTCCAATATTCTGAAATATGAACTTTTTTTGAAAAAAATTTACAAAAAATTTGTCTTTTTATTGCACAGTCCTCTTAATGGCCTTGACTGGGGGTGTCCAAGCTGGGCTCCATAAAGCCTCTGCAGTGGGGGACACCCCCCCCCCCCCGTCTCTGCTGGTCTGCTTTCATTTGAGGATAGCTGGGTTTAAAAAGTTTGAAAATCCCCGGCTTAGGTTTATAATCCTTTGGCAAGTCATTATAGTCAATAAATAAAGTCAATAAGTATTATTTCAAGGTGTAAGATGACACCAGCTGTTTTTAGAGATCAGGTGACCTTGTGAAATTAATGCTTAAACACTTTATGGTTCCTATTTAAAGAGTCACTTTTAATAGCAGACCTGGAACTGAATACATTTGTGATTCTTATTTTTTTTTTAAAAAAGGGATTTTGAACTGTGAGTGTTTGTGACACTAAAGCTTTTTCAGGAAAGTGTCGTGACACCATGGCTGCTGTCTCCTTGCGTCGCTGTCTGCTCTCGCGTCGCTGTCTGCTCTCGCACGCGCGGGACTCCGTCAGCGGGGGCTTAGGGTGCGGCCTGGCTCTGCTTGTGCCACAGTGCTGTGCATAAATCTCCGCTTCTCAGACAGAAGTGCCAGCAGGTCGATGAAGCGAAGCTGGAATATATCTGAAGAGCCTTTCTCTGGGGTTGTTGTGTCCGTTATCTGTCTCTTGTGTATGAAGGGAAACGCTGCAGCACGCGGTCAGGCGTCATGGCTGATGTCACTGGTCATGTGACCAGCCTCACGTTCTGTATGTCTCGTCATTACGTTTTGCATTCACATATTACACAGATTGTACTTAAATATTTTCATATCAGAGACAATTTGAATGATATTTGTGCAATTTTCTGAAATGCTGTATTTTGCTTGTTATTTAATTTGGGAAATGTGACTTGTTTAATTAAAACATTCTGGTGAATGGATTTATCATGTTATGCTGTTGCTGATTGTTTCCCTTGTCAACCTACCGGAATTTATGTGTCTTATGATATAGGGCAGTACCACTCTGCCTCGGCCCGTTGTAACTGTCAGCACACAAAGAGTTTGACTTCCTCTGCCGTCCTTGAAATAGTAAACCAGGGGAACCAATTTTTTCTGAGGAACCGACCGAGAAGCATGGGCCCAGCAGCAGAGTGAAACCCCCTTTGCCCACAAGTGAATCCCCCTCTGACACCTAAGAGTGGCTCCACTTGAAGAAAGCAGAAAGTTCTGCTTGGAAAGACACTCGTTACCCATGTGCTCTGGTTTCTGTTCTTTCCTCGTTGACCGCTCATTCTAATCGTTCATTTTATTTTCTCGTCATTAGTCAACTCTGATTCACATATGCAAAGTGTCTTTTTCCAAAATAAATAAATAAATAAAAATCTATAAATAAGAACAGGAAGATGAAGAAAAGGGTGTTTCTAAGTCTAGCTGAGGAGTTGCACGTTTTCACACTTTTTTTTGTAACTGGAAAGTCTCTGAAATGTCCTGTCAACGGCCTGGAAAATTCAAAAAGTTAAGGCAGTTGATCAAAACAAAAAACGAAAGTGACACGTGGCTGGGATGAGCACGACAGTGAGTGGGGGCTGCGTGGGGCCATCGCTTGTGCTTTTCTCCACCCTGGGAGGGGGCCGTCCACTGCTGCGGCCCCCCTTGCTAGCTGCTCCGTCTTGCCTTCAGCAGCATGAAGTCCCGAACCAGCCTTCGGAGGTAGCGCTCCAGGTCGCGCAGAACCACATAGCCCTCCAGACGCTTGTGCCAGGCCAGTCGTGCCCAGAAGGAAGGTGTCGGAGGCGGGGCCTCCGTCAGCGGGGCCTCCATCGGCAGCTCGTGGTTGGATAGGGAGCTATCTGCATGGCTTACCTGGATTAGCTGCAGGGATTAGTGATTAGGGGAGTCAGATTAACTATCAGATTATGTCTTATTTTTCCTGCTTGGGACTGTAGACTTTAAATCTCATTTCAATCCCTTACTTTACATCTACAACCCTTAAGGGTGAGGATTCATTTACGCCCAGAATGTGAACGTGAATCACCACCAAATGATGGCATCAGTTAGCAAAGATAAATTACAGTGAGAACCTGCAATAGCACACGGGGATGGAGGGATGGAGGTCAGCGTCATGCCTTAAACCATGAGACCGAGGCACTTCTAATCCCTGCCCAGTCCCATGAGCATTCTGTGGAGCTTAGAGTCGTCTGCGATGCCAGCATGGTTAGCTGCGCCAATGGGGCAGGGGGTTCCTCCACTTCTCAGCGACCCAGGAACCTCTTTGGGGTTCTCTGTACCCACATAAATCAGCAGCTCTGCTGACTGCCGCAACCCTTGGCTGCAAGATGGGCCGGCGTTTTCTGAATTACTTTCTCTTGGGGACCTTAGTCCAAACAGCTGCTCACTGTGTCAGCACGTTTGGTAAAGGTGCAGGTATGGGCTGTATGACTCATTTTTCAATAGGTTTGCCACTTTTTACTGGGAATAATGTCGACTGATTTAGGAGGAATCAGTCATTTACAGGAAACCCTACAGCCAAGCGAACTGGGACAAGAAGACTTGTGGTGGTACCTGTTTCTTAGTGAGGTAGATGAGGTCCCGCATGTCCAGCTGCACCTTCTGCATGGAGCGAGTCAGCCTGCCCGGCCGGCCCCTGCATTCCTGCTTGAGCTGCTGCCTCTTCAGGTCCAGGTGATGCCAAAAGACCTTCAGACCCTGCACAGCGCCCCTGAGTCGTTCCGAGTCCTGCACACCACCAACAATCAATCAGTCTATATACAGCACTGCATTAACCACAAGGATTACAAGTGTTTTACAGACCTTATAAAAGAAGTAGAAAAAAGAAAGACGGGAAAATAAAAGAAGCACAAAAGAAATAAAGTATGTGCATAGAATAAGTGAATATAATAACTGATTGTAATAGGTTATTAAACACAGCGGTGAAAAGATGCATTTTCAGCCTAGTTTTAAAGCACTAAGACATTCAGTAGCTCTCAGGTTTTCCGGGGTAGTTTCCCAGAGTTTGGGACCATAGTGACTAAAAGCTGCCTCCTCCCTCCTCAGCCGCATTTTAGGAATAATAAGTAAATTTATCTCGGATGACCTGAGAGATCTGCCTGGGACATACCTTACAATCATGTCACTGAGATAAAGCGAAGCAAATAATGTTTAAAAATTAGCAGGAGGACTTTAAAATCATCCCTAGAAGCCAGTGCAGGGATGTAAGAGTAGGTGTGATGTGATCCTGTGAGTATTAATACTCTGTCCACAGCATTCTGGACCCGGTGTACATTTCTTAGTAGTAAGAGTAGGTGCGATGTGATCCTGTGAGTATTAATACTCTGTCCACAGCATTCTGCACCCGGTGTACATTTCTTAGGCAGACCAGACAGGAATGCATTACAGTAATCTATTCTACTTGAAACAAAAGTATGTGTTAGTTTTTCCACAGTCAACAGCCACTAACTTTAACTTCACCCAGTACTCCGACGATCCATTTAGTGTCCTTAGTAATGGTGATGTGATTATCATCCACAGTACCTGCATATGCAGCCAGTGGAAATAGTCTGTTTTCAAGGATGGCAAGTCCTGCAAAGAGAGGCTTCGGTCCTCAAATTCTGAGTCTCCCAATTCCTCTAATTTCTGTAAAAGAAAATTTTACACATAGGTTAACTTAGGGAGTTTAAAACTGGGGTCAAATATTTATTTTTTTTAATGGCGTCTGTTCGTGTGGTTTGCACAAAATTCTGAGCTGTTTGATGAGGCTATAGGTGCACTCTCTGATCGTGCACGCAACAGCATGCTCGTGCCAGGCGAGCCTTACGTATTGCAACAGCAGAGCGCGGACGCGCGTGAGTATCCTCCTTGCGAGGCGAACGGAGTTCGAGGAACTGTGCGCCCTCTGGTGGTAGTTTGGTTCAGTGCAACACAGGGGGAGTAATAAAAGTAGCATCGGTAACGGTGATCGGCAGCCGACGATCATCTTTGGATGGCTGAGACTGGACCGCAGTCTAAAATGAAATCGATAATGTTTATTCATTCATTCTTTCATCCTTTCATTCATTTTCCACCGCTT